ACAGGGAACACAACAGAGAGTCCCTGATGGAGCAGGAGAAAGGTGGGGTGCAGAACTCAAATTCTAGTAAGAAGACCAGACTTAATGGTCTGACTAAGGAACTGAGGAACTCCAGAAAGCATGGCCCCTGGATTCTCTATCTGCCCAGAACTAAAACAATTACCGAGGCCAACTCTTCAGTCAGGGATTGTACTGGACTGTGGGACATAAAGTGATACTCGTGAGGAGTGTGCCTCTTAGCTCAAGTAGATACAAGAGACTAAATAGGCAGCTTTTGTCTGGAGGTGAGATGGGAAGGCAGAGAGGGCTAGGAGCTGGTTGAATGGCGATGGGGAATCAGGGGTGGAAAGAAGGAGTGTGCTGTCACTGTATGGGGAGAGCAATTGGGTCACATTACAATGTATGCATAAATTTTTGTACGGGAGACTAACTTGAAATGTAAACTTCATTTAAACTACAACAATAAAAAAGTTAAAATAAAAACATAATAATAAAAATAAAAAAGAAGTTCAAATAGTTTTAAATGACTTGACCAAGTCACCCAAGAAAAGGGAGAATCAAGACTAGAACCTAGGTCTTCAAAATCTTTCCACTGTAAAATCTTGTCACACATGCTCACTGGTACAGCCTAACAGGCTGGACATAATGGAGTGCATATAACAACATCTTAGTTAAGTCATCAGTTTAGTAGTATCAAGGGATTCCGTTTTTCTGGATTGCGCAAGGTTTCCAGAGATCCATCAAACCAAGGCTTTATAATGCAAAAATAAAATGCATATTTGTATAGAAACCTATTGCCATCAAGTCGATTCTGACTCATAGCGACCCTATGGTACAGAGTAGAACTGCCCCATAGGGTTTCCAAGACTGTAAATATTTACAGAAGCTGACTGCCACATCTTTCTCCCATGGAGCAGCTGGTGGGTTCGAACCACTGACCTTTCAGTTAGCAGCTGAGTGCTTAACCACTGTACCACTACAGCAAGACATAAATACATGCAATTACATGTGAGCATTTTCTTATCTAATTAAAAGTATTTATGTTGTTGCTACGCTCCCCTTGGGATCTTTTCATAAATAAATGGAAATTTAGTGAAATTTGTACTAATTTCGCACTTGGAATCTCAAGTGTAAACTTTATTGAGGTTTATCATCACCCCTTGAAAGGTAAGAAGCATTAAGCAACTGATAATGGGTAAAATGAAACAATAAAGATGAATGTGGAAACTTAAAAAGTTCCAAAGACTATGTGTAATAGGGGCAGGGTGGAAAGATCTGATAACATAAATGAATTCCAACCTGACTAAAAATAATAATGACTGTCTCAGGCCAGCTTTCACAGAGCTAAAATCAATTTGAAACAAGATTAAACATTACACATTATTATACATGTAAATAAATCAATGTTTTCACAAAAATTTTTCTTAAAAGTAATTATTTTAGAAGTAAACACAGAAGTTAACAAAAATCTGTTCAACATACCCTAACTTTACAATGTGATAAAAGCCCCCACATTGGCTGTGCACAGGCCTCAAGTTCAGCAGCGAAGGCAGCATAGTAGGTCTGAGACTCAAATTCCACATGCTCATTTAGCTCTCGCTTGTTTAAGTTCATACCTTGCAAAAATTAAAGCAGACATAAACCTTGGCTAAATGGAGGCAAATATTCTGACTAAAAATCTAGTAAAATACCTTCCAGCACCAAACACATTTTAATTAATGCACACAAATGGCATAATTAATATATACAGAAATAAGTAAATAATTAAAAATGAAATAGTCTAACCCTCTGAGAATTCTTTAAAAACTAGGTTTTCTTAGAAACACTTATGAATTGTCTCTAACTTATATAACATAATTAAATTTTTCAAGTAAGAAAATTAAAACAATTTTAACTGATAAGAGTTGAAATTTTTATGAAAGTGTTATGAATCCTTCTTTGAGAGTAGACATTTCCAGATGAATAGTTTAAAATGCTAAAAAAATTACTGTTGTTTCCTTTTTAATAATGTAACATTTTTCCTATCTAGTATGTTTTCATAAAGACATTATTAAAGTACTTAAAAATACCAGTTAATTAAAATGAGACAGTGAGTATGTAACCTGAATGATGTGCTATTATTATATTTTAATTAGTATTTAATAGTTTAGTATTATGCATTTTGTAAACCAAAAGAATTAATATAAAATTAAAATTCATACCTTGAAAGAAAGACACAAAGTTCATCCATGTAACTAACAAACCATGGTCCTCCAGAAATCTCTTAGCCACACTTTGATGAGAAAGAATATTAATAAAATCACTAACAAGAGGCCAGTAAGTGTTATTCTTCAGTAATGCTTCTCCACAGTTCACTACCACATGTAAACTATTTTCTTCATCTAAAAAAGACACACATGTCCCAAAAATAAATAAGATTATTTTTAAAAACTTCACCAATGCTACAGAACAGTGTAGACTTTAGAATCAGAGACATCTAAGTTCAATCCCCAATTTAAGGGCTATATGGCCATAGGCATGTTACTTTAGACTCTCTAAATCTACTTCCTCAGCTGTGAAATGGAAAAAAAACAAAACAAAACCACACACACAAAAATCTGAAAGGAATTAAATGAGATAACATTAACATAAAGCACTTAGCATATCATTACTTATGACTACATGTCCAACATGTTACAAGATAAAAACTGAGCTAGCTATATGTTTACAAAACCTTATTATTTTCTTGAAACTAAAGACATAACACAGTAGTTGCAGTTCCAATCAACAGAATATTCTTATCCCTAGGTTAATCCCATTTTATCTTATCAATCAAATATAGTGATACATATTTAATTACTTTCTTCTATTCAGAGAATATGTGGATATAATTTTTTAGCAAACATGGTATTTCAAAGATGAAAGAACAAAAACAGACACAAACTTCTTAAGTCTTAAAAAAATACTGAAAGTTTAAAAATATTGTTGGGGGGTTGTATTGGGCTTGTAAAAATCTTTACTGATAAAAAGTATTATCCTATATACATTAGCTCTCTTAACCTTTTTCAACTTAAGTGATTCACTGGACTAACAAACCCTTCACTCCCACTGTAAAATGTACTAATACCCATAACACACAGAATGTTTGAAGCTAGTAGTCTGTTCTCTACCACTCAAGCTGAGGACTTATATGGTTACCCAGAGTCAGTTTTTGTTTTTCTTCATGCCAATTGTTCTTTTTACTGTAATCATAAAATTTAAATTAGAAGTATATAAACTGATGAAATATGAATGCATAGAGTTATAAAAGCTGGATGGAATGCTTTTGAAAGACAATAAAAGTGTCTTGAAAAAATCTTGGAGAAGAAAAATGTAAAAGCCTAGAAATATTTTACACTCAGAATTGCTTCACAAAGACCTTTGTTCTCACTCTAAAGAAACTGAAACTACAATTCATAGATGACGCTTTACAGGTGTGGTATATACAACAAAGAGAAGAGAGAACTCCAGTCAAGGAAACCATACTCTTAAAAATGTTCTACCCAAAATTCAGACTGGAGAATGAACACGCAGTTCTGTGTTTTAAGTTAAAATAAAATGTTTAAGGTACTCGTGTCACTTTTTTAATGACTACCCATTTTAACCAACTTTTTCAACTAACCACCTATCTGTCAAACTCATCAGTGAGGAGGGACTCTACTGTACTTCTTAATTTCAATACATTAAATTTAGATAATTTAGGTTTCAGTCCAGGGAATTATTTTACCCAGCTCCTCACTGAACAATATATAAGAATGGGACTCACTGTAGATAAGTATGGTCTCTTTCAGTGCAATGGGATTGGAGAGGATAAAACAATGAGGGAGTAGGGGTAAGATGGGGGGGGGTGGCGATCTTTTAAAACTATCCACACCTGAGATTCTGAAAAGCAATTACCACCATTATGAACTGGTAAGCCACTAATAACTGACTGAACAGCTTAGAGATGTTGGAGTCATAGAAAAAAAAAAATGTTGAGAATCATTGTTTTAGTTAATTGAAACCAGAGGATGAACTAGCAGAATATAATTAAATTTACTATTTTCCTAACACGGCTTTAAATACGACCGTTCCTGTGAAAAATGCCTTGGAACCTTTAATAAAATAAAACGATTAGGACTTCTATTTTTACCCAAATTGTACATTCTTCACTACAGATTTAGAGAACAATGATTCAGTGTTAAATGAGATTCACTCATCAACAAATATTTATCAACCACCAACTGAGGGCCAGTATTTCATTAAACTCTGAGAATAGAGTGGTAAATAAATCAAGATTTATATGGTCTCTCTCTCCACTAAGATTAACATCTAAAAAGACAAAGTGTGATAAGGTCTCCAACAGGAAAAGTACAAGCAGCCATAAAAACAAATAAGCTAGTCTAGAGTTCAGGAAAACATTTTCTTGAGGAAGTGATATCTAAACTGAAATCTACAGAATGAAGTAGGGATTAGGATTAGTCAAGTAAACTAGGGGGGAGGGGGCAAATGGTGTTCTAGGCAGAGGGAGCAGTAAATAACCGAAGGACAGAACCACTGGGACAAAGAATGCACAGGATGGGTGGTAGAGATTAGGCTAAAGAGCCTTATACCAGCTTAAGGAGTTTGGAGTTCATGTGAAGAGAATGTCCAGAGTCACTCATTTAATCCTAGGTGTGACAGGAAAAGAGTCCCTGAGTGGCACACAGAGTTTGTACTAGACTAGTAGCTGAAAGCTTGGCAGTTCAAACCACCCACCCAGCAGTACCTCCAAAGAAAGGCCTGGCAATTGCTTCCATAAAGATTACAGCCAAAAAAACCCTATGGAGCTCAGTTCTACTCTGTAACACATGGGGCCGCCATGAGTTAGAACTGACTCAATGGCAATGATTTGGGGGTTTTTTTACCAGGAAGGGGAGGGAAGAAGGGTGAGTTAGTGCTTAAGGGGCACTGAATTTCTGCTAAGGCTGATGAAAAACTTTGTCAGTGGATACTGCTGATAGTTGCATAACATGGTGAATGTGATTAATGTCACTGAATTGTACACCTAAAAGTGGTTGAAATGGCAAATGTTTCATTATATAAATTTTACCACAATTAAAAAAAAGGTTAAAATGGCAAATATTTTGTCATGTTTTACCACAATAATTTTTTTTTTTTTTACTTCAGTAAAGCTCGCTGTAGAAAAAATGGGAGGGAGACTCATACACATCTTTCTCCCCAAACATTCTTCCTTGAAGACCAAATACAGACCACATATAATAAGCACAGCTAAACCACTTAGTCAAAAGAATAGACTCCAGGTTCTTTTCAAAAGAGTAGACACTTCTAAATAAAAATATCCAGTTTATAAATTAACAAACAACACTATTGCTGAGAAAAGTCTTTCTCTAAATATATAGTTCTACAGGAGAATATCACTAACAAGGCTGAATGATGAGATATACTATTTCAAGAGAAAAAGAAAAAGTAATATATTTACAGCTTTATCTCTGAGGGGAAAAAAGATCATCTTACACAAAAATAGAAAAACTATAATACAAGAAGAGGCCTTTAACTTTTCCTTTAAAAAAGTAAAAAGGTATATTGCTTAATGTAGATAATGCATTATGCTTCCACCATACCTACGATGGGGAGGCAGAGTCGCATAACAGGTAAGAGGATAGGCTTTGAAGTCAGGCACCCAGCCTTACCACTTACACTTATAAGACCAAAGACCATTGATTTCAACTTCCTAAGCCACAGTTGCCTCACTTATAAAATAGAGATAACAACATCTACTTCACAGGATTATTAAAGGTTAAATGAGATAATGCATATAAAGTACTAAGAAAAAAGTCTGGCACATAATGAGCGCTCAAAAGATGGCAGCTACACCAAAAGAGTAAAAAGACAACCTACAGACTGGGAAAAAATTTTTTGGCTACAACATATCTGACAAGGTCTAATCTCTAAAATATACAGAATACTTCAATACCTCTACAACAAAAAGACAAATAATCCAATTTAAAAATGGGCAAAGGATATGAACAGACACTTCACAAAAGAAGACATTCAGGTAGCTAACAGACACACGAGGAAATGCTTGCCATCATTAACCATTAGAGAAATGCAAATGTAAACTACAATGAGATACCATCTTACTTCGACATTACTGGCACTAATCAAAAAATCAGGAAATAACAAATGTTGGAGAGGTTGTGGGGAGATTGGAACTCTTTGCACTGCTGATGGAATGTAAAATGGTATAGCAACCACTATGGAAAATGATATGGTGCCTCCTTAAAAAGCTATGGAAACCCTGGTGGCACAGTGGTTAAGAGCTACAGCTGCTAACCAAAAGGTTGGCAGTTTGAATCCACGAGGCACTCCTTGGAAACCCTATGGGGCAGTTCTACTCTGTCCTATAAGGTCACTATGAATCGGAATCGACTCAACAGCAATGGGTTTGGTTTTTTGGTTTAAAAAGCTATCAACAGAAGTACCATATGATCCAGCAATCCCACTCCTAGGACTATATCCTAGAGACATAGAGCTGAGACACGAATAAACATATGCACACCCAGGTTCACTGCAGCATTATTTGTAATAGCAAAAGATGGAAACAACCTATATGCCCATCAACAGATGAATAGATAAACAAATTACGGTACATACACAATGGAATACTATGCAATGATAAAGAACAATGATGACGCTGTGAAACATCTGACAACATGGATGAATATGGAAGGTGTTACACTGAGTGAAATAAATCAATAACAAAAGGACAGTTACTGTATGAGACAAAAAAAAACAACACAAAAAACCCTTTGCCGTCGAGGCAATTCCGACTCACAGCAACCCTATAGGACAGAGTAGAACTGCCCCATAGGGTTTCCAAGGAGCAGCTGATGGATTCGAAAGGCCAACCTCTTAGTCAGCAGTCGAGCTCTTAACCACTGCTCTTAACCACTGCACCACCAGGGCTCCTGTATGAGACCACTATTATAAAAACTCAAGAAAAGGTTCACACAGAAAAAACAATCTTTGATGGTTACGAGGGGGGAGGGGAAGGAGGGGAAATCACTAACTAAATAGTAGACAAGGGTGACTTTGGTAAAGGGAGAGACAACACACAATATAGGGAAGTCAGCACAACCTGACCAAGGCAAAGTCATAGAAGTTTCCTGGATACATGTAAACACCTTGAGGGACTGAATTACTGGGGCTGAGGGCTGGGAACCATGGTCTTAGGGGATATCTAGGTCAATTGGTATAAGAGAGTTCATAAAGAAAATGTTCTACATCATACTTTGGTGAATAGCATCTGGGAGTCTTAAAGTTTGCAAGCAGCCATCTAAAATACATCTATTGGTCCCATCATGTTCAGAGCAAAGGAGACTGAAGAAAACCAAAGACACAAGGAAAATACTACTCCAAAGCACTAATGAACCACAGCCTCTACCAGCATGAGCCCAGAAGAACTAGATGATACCTGGCTACCATCATCAACTGCTCTGACAGGGATCACAATAGAGGGTCCTAGACAGAGTGGGAGAAAAATGTAGAACAAATTCAAATTCACAAAAAAAGAACAGATTTACCAAGAGATAGAAGGGCCACATAAACCAGCCTGAGACCAGAAGAACTAGATGGTGCCTGGCTACCACCAATGACAGCCTGACAGGGAATACAACAGAGTCCCTGACAGAGCAGGAGAAAAGTGGGGTGCAGAACTCAAATTCTAGTAAAAAGACCAAATTTAAGTCTGACTAAGACTGGAGGGACCAGAGGACACGGCCCCCAGACTCTCTGTTAGCCCAGAACTGAAACCATTCCTGAAGCCAACTATTCAGACATAGATTAGACTGGACTATAAGATATAAAATGATACTCATGAAGACAGTGCTTCTTAGCTCAAGTAGATACATTGACTAAATGGGCAGCTCCTGTCCAGAGGTGAGATGAGAAGGCAGGAAGGGACAGGAGCTGGTTGAATGGACATGGGAAATCCAGGGTGGAAAGGAGGAATGTGCTGTCACATTATAGGGAGAGCAACTAGGGTCACACATAACAATGTGTTCATAAATTTTTGTACAAGAAACTAACTTGAACTGTAAACTTTCACTTAAAGCACATTAAAAAAAAAAAGAATGTTATCGATCCTTATTAAAAAAAAAAAAGACCACACTTACTGGTCTGACAGAAACTGGAGGAACTACCAAGACTACTGCCCCTGGACACCCTACTAACTCAGAACTGAAGTCACTCCCAAAGTACACATTTTAGCCAAAGATGAGACAGGCCTATAAAACAAACTAAAACATGTGAGGAACATGCTTCTTAGTTCAATCAAGCATACGAGACAAAATGGGCAACATCTGCCCAAAAGCAAAGCCGAGAAGGCAGGAAGAGACAGGAAAACTGGATGAAAGGACACAGGGAACCTGGGGTGTAAAGGGAAAGGGGAAGAGTGCTGACACATTGCAGGGATTGCAACCAATGTCACAAAACAATTTGTACATAAATTTTTGAATGAGAAACTAATTTGCACTGTAAACTTTCACCTAAAGCACAATCAAGTTAAAAAAAAAAAAAAAGATGGTAGCTATCATAATTAGCTATTGTTGTATAAAAGGCATTTGCTCTGCAGAGAATATATATCAATTTTCAGGATACGGTGTCATATTTGAGAAGAGACAGATTATCCATATAAAGAGAAAGTAGGAGCTGATATGGACAAGGAGGCAACAGTAGAACAAGGCAAGGCTCAACTATTGGATTTTTCTTCCACAGAAAATAAAAAGTTGCTAATATTTCATTTGAAGTATCATTTGTTGTTTTAAAGTTTAGCCCCAGACGCCAACAAGTGAGGACATAGTCTCTATAATATGGGCTTGGCTGTGTCCTGATTAAGAACAAAAGTTCTGACATCAGGAGACATGAAGTCTTTCCTGGCTCTGGCATTTACTAGCTGTATAATCTCGAGCAAAATGACTTAACTTCTCTAAACCTCAACTTATTCATCTTTAAAGTGGGGATAATAATAATACCAACCTGAGAGAGTTGTTGAGAAGCTTATTGAGACAATATATGCAGAATATTTAACACAGTGTCTAGTACATAGCAAATACTCAAATAATACAAATTATTAAAGGGAGATGAAGCTAAAGTAAGAACCACAGAGAAATGAGAATGGGAGGAAGTCCTGAAAATATTACGGCAGGTCGGGTAGTATCAATCACATAGTGGGCACAAACGAAGAAAATTAAAGATCTCAGGAGAACACAGATAACTCAAGATTTATTCCAATTTTTAAATTATAAAATACAAGTATATAAAAATGTCTAAGGCTGACAGTAACTAATTATAAAAAAATAGGAACATTTCTAATAATGAAATGGTTAAATAAATTATGGTATTGTCATATGGTATTAAAACCAGCAATCATTAAAAAACATGTTTTTGACATGTACACTACGGTAACACTTTGGTTAATTAAAAAAATATGTATTTGTATCCATAAATACACTCATACAAATAAAAAAATAAAAATAAAACCCCAAAATGTTAATAGCACTTATCTGTGAATAACAACAACTTTAGGTGATTTTAATATTTCTTTAACCTTTGCTGCAAATTTTCCAAAATTTCTTTAACAAATATGTATTACTTTTTAATATTTAAATTTTTTAAGCATATAAGGAGTTTTTAAGGCTAGTCATACTAAGTGTATTAATAATAAAACTAGTCAAAATAATTCTGAGTTTACCTTGTAGCTCACTTTTAATAAGGCAACTTTCCATCATGTATAATAATACAGTGACCATAATATCCAGCAGCTGACATTCTTCTGTTACCTGTCTGGCTAGCTCCTCATTGCTGAATAACTGAACGCTAATATGCACAATTCTGTTAGACATTGTATCTGATTCATGACTTTTCTTCAGGGTTTTCATAATGAAAGCATAATGCTGCACAAAAGTTTTTGTAAAAGCAACCTGTAAAATTTTTTAAATAGGAGAAAAAGAACACAGTTTAATTTTGAATTGTATAAAATATCTTCCAATACATTCTATTAACATTATAAACCTTAGCTTGTGATGATGTCCAAGGTAATTGAAAACATAATTTCACTGATGACAACATAATTTCTTAAGTCATATTTTCAATTTTGGAGAACATTAGCAAAATTCTTTGATAGTTAAAAAAATTTAATAAGCATTTTAAATTATTAAAATTTTAAAGCAATTACAATACCATGATTTAAGAATATAAATTTTCACTTTGGTCACAAATGTCAATTTACTCATGTCAAAATATATGTCTTTGTTCTGTGCCATCTATTTTAGCAACAAAACCTCGTCTCAACTAAAAGCATCACTGAGGATTTAATATAACTAAACAACGAATCAAATGCTCTTATATTTCCTCTATTTCCTTTCTGTGTAACATTTATATTTCCTCTATTTTTATAGCAGATATAATGACACACAAATCAGTGGTACTGTCTAAGTGTCACTCCTAAAGAGGCTTTATTAAGTATACCATTGAAAGAATTACAGTATGTTTTCATTTCTTCTTATGCACAGAGCTGCGTCACTTTGCCATAACCATATGGTGGTGACAGGTGGGTCCAGACCTTCCAGGACAGGAGACTTCATCTATATATATTTGTATATGAGTCAATAATGTGGCTAAAAGCTACCAACTCCATGCTTTTGAAATGCCTAACCCCACAAACTAAACTCAGTTCCCCCCATTAAACATTCTCATAGCACCTTGTACTTCTCCTTCAGAGGACTTACAACAATTTGTAACTACGTATTTATTTATTTATGCAATTGTGTTTGTAATGTTTATCCCCCAGTATCTTCTTCAGACTAAGTTCCATGTTGAAAGCAACTCTTTGGAATTATGCTCAGTAATGCTGCTTTGCCTCAGAGCCACCATACTGCTTTTTATGCAAATCATGTATAGGCAACAGAGGAAGTTAACGCCTTTCCATAGGGTAATATCAGCCCTCAGATCTATAATATAATAAGCCACAGCTGAAAAAATATATCAAAAAAGAATTAGTAATGAACAGGTAAAGAAACGTGATCACAGTTCAGGGGAAAAAGGACAAAATTTAGATACCTTATACTCTTGATCTGGAAGCATGTTGAGTAAGAAAGTTACCATCTTCTGGGGAAATTCATACTTTATAGTCCAAAACAACAGTTCTTCTAGGAAACTTTTATGTTTCAAAACATCCATTATGGATTGATCTGCATAAAAAAAAGAAAACACATCACCTAATTATTTCCATTTCTTATCTCATTCAAACTTCATTATAACCGGGGTTTGTTTTTCAATAATGCACATATATATTTTGCTGTGTATATTCTCAACAACAACAAAATAAATAAAATTATACATTTAAAAAAAATTCCAAAAAACCAAACCCACTGCCAGTGAGTCGATTCCAACTCATAGCAACCTTATAGGACAGAGTAGAACTGCCTCATAGGGTTTCCAAGGCTGTACTATCTTCAAATAAGCAGAATGCCATAACTTTCTCCTGTGGAGCAGCTGGTGGATTCGAACTGCTGACCCTTCCATTAGCAGCTGAGTACTTTAAGCAAAAAAAAAATTATCCTTCATAAATGAGATACTAATTTCACTAGAGAAAATAATTAATTAATACATTGCTTTCTCTAGTATATAGGGGGTTTACTTTTTCTCTAAGCCAATACTTAAAATATATAAAAGAGTGTTAGATATGCTTACTTGCACTGGACTCAAGATGCCCTTTTCATCCATAAAGAAAAGGGGAAAATGGGTGCCCTTTTTGAGTAAAAGTATTCAAAGAAGGATGACATTAGCTACTGGAAAGCCTATTACTAAGGCCACCTGCCACCCCTTAAGGGCTAAGCTATATCTTGATAATCTCTGCATCTTCGCCACACATAGTTAACAGAAGGGTCTCAAAAAGTGTATGATGAATTAGACACTTTGAATACTCTGATTATCTCTTTCTCTCACTGATTACAGATAGTTTTTTTTTATTTTGGGAAGGGGAAGAAGAGGCTTCTAAAAATGAACTAGGTAATTGTGACTATAAATCTTTGCCAAGATGTCAAATGATCTCAAGCTGCTGTTTCGGATCATCCGCTCTATATAAGGCCAATGAGAGGTTACAGCAAGTGTCAGCAGTGAATGGGCTGACTCCTTGGCTCTACTTAAGCAGCCACTGCATCAATCCATCTCCTTGAGGGTCTTCCTCTTTTTCACTGACACTCTACTTTACTAAGCAGGACGCCCTCCAGGGATTGGTCCCTCCTGATAACATGTCCAAAGTAAGCAAGACGAAGTCTCATTATCCTCGCTTCTAAGGAGCATTCTGGCTGTACTTCTTCCAAGACAGATTTGTTTCTTCTTCTGGTAGTCCATGGTATATTCAATATTCTTCACCAACACCGTAATTCAAATGCATTACTTCTTCTTCAGTCTTCCTTTTTCATTGTCCAGCTTTCATATGCATATGAGGCAACTGAAAATACCATGGCTCAGGTCAGACACACCTTAGTCATCAAAGTGACATCTTTGCTTTTCAGATTTAAAGAGGTCTTTTTTCCAACTCTACTTTGGGGAGGCAGCTCTTCCCCAGTTGTATTTGGAGTGTCTTCTAACCTGAGGGGCTCATCTTCCAGCACTGTATCAGATAATGTTCTGCTGTTATTCATAAGGTTTTCACTAGCTAATTTATTTCAGAAATAGATTACCAGATCCTTCTTCCTAGTCTGTCTTAGTCTGGAAGGTCTGCTGAAACCTGTCCACTATGATGACCCTGCTGGTATTTGAAATACCAGCCGCATAACTTTTAGCATCACAGCAACATGCAGGCCCCCACAGTATGACAAACTGACAGACAGGTGGTGGCAAAAAGCCTGAAGCTACCATAATTACTGTTATACGCAAAGCATTTAAAAGGAAAGATACATTAGTTTTAAATAAATAAAGCAATCATAATGCACCAAAAAATCTGTGGTTTCTACTAAAATGAGAATAGTTGCAATTATGTAGAATTTAACTTTTTCATTTTTAGCCAAATAAAAAACTAGCAATTGCTTCATTATTGCTCTTAAAAATGGTGACATCAGTCTCCCAAGATATTGAGAACACATGACTAGTTATGGAAATGCTGTTAAAAATGCTTCTATTAATTATGTGTGACCACTTACCTTTAAAATCTTGATTAACTGTCATGATTTTTAACGTCAAAACTACCTTAAGCCAATTGTAAAACGAAATTTTTGAAGAATCCATATATGGCATAAATCTATGCCTAAGGCAAAGCTGTTAGACAGCAGAGTCCAGGCTCTAGAACTCACTGGCTGAATAATCCTAGCCATGTTACCTAACCCTCTCTAAGGTATCTTTAAAATTTAGGTTTTAAGGATAGACAATAATGTGCTTATTTAGCACAGTGGCTGGTCTCTTGCCTATCATTACATATTTTATTTTTTCAGCTCAATTTCAAACTATTGATCAAAATTCTTATAAAACTAAACCACTCCCTGAACTTCAGATATCTTCAAAAGCAAGTCACTTTTGGAAAACTCCTGGGTTCTACTAATTCAAACAGCCATTTCTTCTATGTACATACTTAATACATAAACAATAACTGATCAAAGTCTTAAATCTCTGTTCTACTTAACCACTAGAGGAAGGAAAAGAAGGCACTTAATCCAGTCCCAAGGGTGAAAAAATTCAGGTATAAAAGAAAATAAACTTCAATTGCACAAAAATATCTTTAGCCAGAGTTTGAACAGGCTGAAGGAAAGCAATGACCTCTTATACTACAAAAGGTATTTTCTGGGCATCCTTCAAGTTAAACTCAAGTACATGCCTAACAATCTCTCCAATTCAGATGTCTCTCAAGGAATCAATGGACAACGCAGGTATGAGAAAGGACCAAGTAGCCATATGGATTTCTGATTTCCTTCAGGTATCCCAGGTTCTCTGCTGAGCCAGGAAGAAGGGGAACATGTATGCACATGCGCATCCTGGACTACAGATCAAATTCATACCCTTTGTTCTAAAAGCCAAGCAAAGTAAATGTAACTAAGACAGATTTATACAATGAATCTGCAACTGAAATTGCCTCCAAATTCCACCTTTCCAGTCAGTCCTAGATATTCTACAAGATGAACTTCATCAGCACTAGAAATAAGAATCTTCTTTCAACCTCAGGAGACTCCCTGATAGACCACACTAACCCAGAAAATAGGCCACGGTAAGATTTGGAAATCCATGGCACAAATCCAAAGCTCAGTATGCCAACTAACGACAAGTCCTCTAGAAAAGCTTTTAATGGGGATCAAGAAAATGGTGGTTAACAGCTTAGACTCTGGGATTTGAATTAAGGATCTACGTCTTATTAGCTCTGACCCCTAACATATCTCCATTTTCTTTTTCACAAAATATTAATAATAAAATCTGCTTCATATGGTTACTTTGAGAATTAAATGAAATAATGCACGTGAAGTGCTTAGCATTATGTCTAGCATACACGGAAGGTCCAATAAATATTGCCCAGTATTATTACTAATTGATTGCCTCACTACAGGCATATCCATTTCCTCTTTTAGGTAAACAAGTAATGAGCTCTTCCTGTGTATTAAGTGCTATTCATTCTCATTGATTTCATTCATTCATATTCATATTCATTCATTCTCTCTCTCTCTCTCTTACCATCTCTCCCTTGCTGGTCCTTTTCCACTTCAGAAATTGCATATCTCAGATTATAAAAATGTTTAATGCAAACTAAAACTTGACACCCAAAACACTGGGTCCAAATCAAAGGATCAATAAAAAGACATACTTTTTTTCTGGCTCAAACATGCTAATATACATTTTATAAAGAAAACAATGAACAAAATCTCAACAGCAAGAGTTTTACTTGCTTTTGAAGTCCCCCACTACCACCCCGTAACAACACTTTTTTCACCATTAGACAAATCTAATAACTCTTCCTTCAAATAGCTTCAATGTGAATATGGCTAGCTAATCAAATATTCTTCCTAATTCAACATTTTTAGAAGATTTTCATGCAAGGAAAAACAGAACATAAATACCTTTGGTGCCACTGCTTAGTTTTACCCTCTTTCTCTTGCCCAGACCTTGACTCCCATCCTGATCCTCCTGGAAGAAACAAAATTAGCATCGTATATAGTCATATTCATAAATTTATACATTTTATATGAACATAAAAATGCTTATAAATTATGTTAAAGCATAATATATAGTTTATATGTTATTAATCAGTATATTTTATTTTTTATCCATATGCTGTAATAAAATATCTTTTTAATTCTGCTAGTTTTGATTAAGATATATAGTGAATTTTCACCAAAAAAAAAAAAAAAAAAGGTCGAGAAGGGAGAGGGTTGACATGTTGTGGGGTTGTTAACCAATGTCATAAAACAATATGTGTACTACAGTTTCATGAGAAACTATTTGTTCTGTAAGCCTTCACCTGAAGTACAATTAAAAAAAAAAAAAGATAAACAGTGAAATATCTTTAGTATTAAAATACAAGAGCTTTTAAGCTTAATCTGTGCTTCCAATGTAAGACTCTTAAATACTCCAAAATGATAAAACAAAAACATTCCTAACTTTATAAATATAACAGCAAATGCACAAAGAAGCTAAAGGAAGGGGGGTGGGAAGATCATCATAGGAAGGAAGGAGAGGAGAGGGAGGGGACATACAGTGATGACAGGAATGGCTTTGAAGAATCTGAGACAAACAAAATGAGTTCAAGAAATCAAGTTCTTAAAAATAAACAGCATATTAGAGGCTGCAGTTGACAGTTAAACAAATAGTAAAAACAAATTAAAATATGTTTATAGAAATAAAAAGAAACAAGAAGGAAACACAAGCATTTGTGTTCACATACCATATATGCATTCTTGAAAACCTTACACCAAAAACAACAGGGCTTACAGAAAAAAAAAGGATCAGGATAGACCATTCAGAATCTATTCAAGTCTGTAACCAGGGAAGTAATAAAAGCAATAATCGGTACCTTGAGAGATAATTTGGATGCTCAGGCAAGCATCTTGGGGCGGTTTGAGGTTGTCTCAGGAGATGTTAACACCGCACAATAGTGGGAAAGTTAGCCGGCCAAGGGAAGAGGAGCAGAGGAAACAGCCACCACTAGTGAACCAAGGTGAGGCTAGGGGTGCACCTTTTGGGGAGGGAGGCTTGGGTGCAAGCGTTCATTTCTAATTTTCTTAAAACATTGCTGAAAAGACTCCTGCTGCCTTTGCAGTAGAGCTGAAATCTTCTTCCTCTCCAGCTAAAGGTTATAATTCTACCCCACTATCCCAGCTCTCCTGAACTAGGAAAGATTGCATACGAATCGACAACGTCCACGTTATACTGACATCTTTTCTCTATTCTCCAAACACATGTGAGCCAACTGGTGTCATAGGGACATGTGTGGTAGTATTTTGGCATACAGTCTGTTGTGTTAACAATGGTGTCTGTGGCATGTTAGAACTGTAGTACAGATTCCCAGGTACTTTCTCACTTACAGCCCATCAAATCTCCAAGCAAAAAAGTAGCCTCAGCTTTATGCTATTGCTCTGTCTATTGGCATGGCTTCCTTGGCATTCACACCACAGACTTAATTTCAAGTTTCTGCCAAGATCATCACCAGTCCTCTGGACCAATCTCTGGAGTGTTCCAGAGCTACCACTTAGCTCAGTCATTCAACATTTACTGAGCGCTTCAATGTGCCCCCCTGCCTTTGCCAGGTCTCTATGGCCATCTACCTGACAGCAGGACTGACAGTCAAACTATATTCTTCTCCTCTGCCTGGAGAAACTCAGCCAGAGTAAAATTTGGAGGCTTAAAAGACAGAAAAGAGATACAAAAATGTACAATCATGCCTCAGGGTCCACAGGGTTCAGAGTTTGAGATTTCAGCTAATAACTATTTATGAAACTGTTCTCCCAGTCTTTAGAGTAAAGGCAAACATGGAAAAGAATATGTGCTATGTCCCAGGTTAGGATTACTTCATATTTCAAACATAAACTTCCTATGAAAAAAAGTATCCTTGGTCAAGCAATGGTCATGGCAATAGCAAGTTCTATAAATTTTCTGGTCTTATAGTCATAAAGGACAAGTAGAATTAGCCAAACAAAGGAGGAAAAGGTCATTCCAAGAAGAGAAGACAGTATGATCAAAGGCAAAAATTTTGAAACATGGACCAATGAGTTGGTCTTGACATCATGGTATACATCCAACAGAGCTAGGGACATTATTTCTATCTAAACTGGTGGGTAAATGGGTACACTCATACATTGCTGGTGACAGTACAGAATAGTACAATCTTCCTAAATGGTAATTTGGCAATGCATATGTCAAAAGTTTTTAAAGTGTGTTTATTTTTGAAACAGAAATTTCAGTTCTAGGAATTTATCCTAAAGAAATAATCAGACAGTGAGGACTAGATTTTCTTAAAATATTCCTGTTCATATATCTTAACTATTCATCACAGTGTTATTCATAACAGCAAAAATTTATATTTGGCTTTCAACTATAAAGGATTAGGTAAATAAATAACAGCATACCTGTATCATATGAAGAAAAACAATGGTAGAGCTCTAGATTCATTGTGACCAGACAGACATTCAAAAACTACTATTATAAGTAAGAAAATCATGCTATACAGAATAGCACACACAGTATGAAACCATTTAAGTACTGACTATACAAATAAAATCTGTTAAAATACACTCCTTATTACAGGACAGATGTTCAAAACTATCATTACTGAGAAAAGCAGTTTATAGAACAGCATATATAATACGAATCCATTAAAATATATATATTATACATAAAAAGCAAAACCAAACCCATTGCTTTGAGTCAATTCCAACTCATACCGACCCTACAGGACAGAGTAGAATTGCCCCACAGAGCTTCCAAGGAGCACCTGGTAGATTCAAACTGCTGACCTTTTGGTTAGCAGCCATAGCTCTTAACCACTACACCACCAGGGTTCTGTTAAAATACAGATAACTTACAATGAGCTACCTCTAAGTGATAGAGAAATAATGGAGTACCGTGTTATGTATTACAAGTACCATATTTATATTTCAGGAAAAAATACATTTAACCAAGAACAATGACTCCCTGTCGTGGGAATTTCAGACATTAGGAAAGATGAAAACAATAGAGGTTATCATGACTACAATTCCCCAACCCCAAATTCATGATGGGGAGTTGTAGTTCTTTCCATTGATCCATGAGGAAGCAGTATAGGATGCTGGGAGAAAATGATGGTTCCCTGAAAAGAGAGGAAACAAATCGAGGACAATGCCTACCCAGATAGCATTTGTGCAGCTCTCAGAAACACTTTCAAGACCTTAACTAGTCCCTGATCAGGGGAGTAGGCATCACTGTTACACGTGTTTCAGGCAGAGAATACGGACAGAGGTCCAAACTGAGAAAAGATGACTCAAGAAAAACAGATTCAAACTCCCAATCTGCAAAATCTACCGGCAGTTTCTCGAGTACTATGGTTGGCAAGAGAACACATAAATTCACTTAAAGTAAGTCAACTCAAATTAACCTTGTTTTGATACATTTACTAGACAGGTAGATGAAAAAAATCTGGGTTCCATAAAAAGTCAGGTAAATTCACTCTCAAAGAGTGTTGAGACTCACTCCAAGAATGTTGACACAGAATATATAAAGCTACAAGGAATATTTAATGTATCAAGTTAGAAAAATAAAACTCAAAAGAGATTTTGAGAGACTATAACAATAAGATGAAACTTAAAGATTTATGTAAACCACTGTAATCTGAGTTTGTTTGCTTTAAATCAATCCTACAAATACAAAGCAATAAGGGAGTTCTAACTTGTCAACTGTGCATTTGAAAAAAATAACCGGGGTCTTTCAATAGACTACTGAGGATCGTGCCAAGAGCGTAGCACAGCTGCTAAAGGCTCACACAAAACCTTGGACCTTAATGAAAGCATAAGTGTCCTTACCAAGAGATGTTCCATCATTGTGCACTGAATCAGATCGTAGATTTTAAAAGAGAGTGACTAGGTAAAAGAGATATATACAAGAGCTTATACTTTAAAAACTAAAGGTAAATATTTAAAGGAGTATAATATGGAAGTAAAAAAAAACTTTCTAGAGGGCAAAGTAAGAAATGTGTGCAAGTTACAATACTTAACACAATATCAAACAGAACATCATAAATAATTTGAGTTATCAAAGGAACAAGCTGCCTTATAAACTGTAAGCTCCCTAGCATTGGAAGTCTTTCAGGAGAGGTTTACCAATTGTCAAGAAAATCAATTCCTGTATTGGAAAAGAAATACCTTAGAAATCAAAACTACAATGAGATTCCATCGCACCTCAATAAGGCTGGCACTAATCCAAAAAACACAAAATAATAAACGTTGGAGAAGTTGTGGAGAGACTGGAACACTTATGCACTGCTGGTGGGAATGTTAAATGGTACAACCACTTTGGAAATCTACTGGCGCTTCTTTGAAAAGCTAGAAATAGAAGTACCATACGATCTAGCAATCCCATTCCTTGGAATATAGCCTACAGAAATAAGAGCCATCACACGAAAAGATAAATGCACACCCATGTTCACTACAGCACTGTTCACGATAGCAAAAAGATGAAAACAACCTAGATGCCCATCAATGGATGAACAGATAAACAAATTATGGTACATACACACGATGGAATACTACGCAACAATAAAGAACAATGATGAATCTGCAAAACATCTCATAACATGGATGAATCTGGAGGGCATTATGCTGAGTGAAATTAGTCACAAAAGGACAAATATTGTATGAGACCACTATTATAAGAAGTCAAGAAAAGGTTTAAACACAGAAGAAAACATTCTTTGATGGTTGGGAGGGTGGGGAGGGAGGGAGAGGGGAATTCACTAACTAGATAGTAGACAAGAACCATCTTAGGTGAAGGGACGGACAACACACAATACAGGGGAAGTCAGCACAACTGGACTAAACCAAAAGCTAAGAAGTTTCCTGAACACAACCAAACACTTCGAGAGATAGTGTAGCTGGGGCTGGGATCTGGGCACCATGGTTTCAGGGGACTTCCAGGTCAACTGGCATAACAAAGCTTAT